CTGTGTTTCGTGTCTCCGTGCTCATCACGACGAAACTTGCGTGGCGTGGCGGTTGTCGTGTCGCAGCTAAACCTGGACAGACATGAAACTTTCGAGATATGGGAGGAGGAGGGCCGATAAGATTGGATGTCGGAGCTCGAGCTTTGACCCCTGCCTGACTTCGCTGATATCGAGATAAGGAACATGAAGGCCCTACGGAGCATGGGGTACAGCTTGTTACATCCATCAAGTCATGGGTTTTGCACATCCATCAGTCAATTTCAAGGGCTCAATGCAGTTGTTTGGGAGGACTCGGTGCACACACGGGTCTCGAAAGGTGCTGACTGTGATTCTCAAGCAGCCGGAAATCAGTTGCTGCAAGTCTGCTGCGCTGTCGTCCATCGCCGAACCCGACAGCAACCGAAAAGGTGCTGCGGGGGTGTGGCACAGCTCTGTGTGGGTTCACCCGAAGTCCCCGGCCACTTTTCTCGGCAGTCATGTAAGACACATCATCCAGCATCTTTTGGATGACACCTGCTGCTGTCGTCACCTGATTTGAACCTCGGGATGCTCATGCGTCTAGAGCATCCTGTTTCGTGTTTACCATATAGACATGCTGCGAGAATCCGTGTTGCCTATTGTGAATTATTAATAACAGCATCGAGTAAGCCCAACTAGTAGCAGCCTGGCAGGACAATCCTGTCGCCCTCTACACCTTGGTTTTCTGGGCGAAGGAACAATAGTTTCTCGTCCTCCCTTTCCTCGCACTGCTGCGTGGATGTCTGCTCCTCACGTGCTGGTGCCTAGATAGCCCACTATCGATATCAACATCGCCCAAAAATGCCGACTTGTGAGGGTGTTGAGGGGTCATCTTTTGGGGCACCAGAAAGTGGGCCACGGACCTGATCGCAGCTCTGCTGCCGATTGGGCAGCGCGAGATGTCGATGGGTCCGAGGCGGCGGGGTGGACCCACACCGACTTTTTGGGTTGGAGGCTGGTTACCGTGCTGATGTCCTGATGTGTTGGCCATATTACCATGTCACCTTCACGCTTAGTGGGGCACTGCTCGGGCTCCTTACATTCGTACCCCATCCGCCATTTGCCAATTCATCCAAGGGTGCACACGCAGAAAATCTCCACACTCGTGTGCTTCCTTGGTGTCTGAATGTTAACTGCGATCACGGATCTGTAGATCGATTAGTTTGCTCTGGTAAGATTCAGGTGAAGACAATGTATGTCTTTGAATTGAATCATTCGCCTTGGTAGGCTGGCAGATATACAGTACCAACCAGCAGCGCATGCAGTCCTCCTAGTTTGCTGCGTGGGGTATAGTCCGTCAGGACAAGGTAGATCGGGAATTGCATGGTGTGGTGTCTTCGGTCCTTCGGTAAGGCTGAGTTTGGTTAGGGTAGGATAAGGTAAACAAGGAGAGAACCATCAAAGAACATATCACCATCCTCATGAATAGTCCCGCAGCACGGGGGGCATTCAGGGTTGCTGGAACTAAATTTAGGCTGGGCTTGAAAAGCATTGCAGGAGGATTTAGGCATCGAGTGTCGGTACCTAGAGAGGGAGTGAATAGGGTTGGAGTCAATGTGGTTGTGATGCCGATCATCGGTGAAGTCAATGCATGATCTGTTCTAGACACAAAGGAGGGGCAACCGTGAGGATTCATGCCTGGCCGGATATCTTCGTCAAGAGTTTTGTGGTGACTCCTATTCATGTTTTTGGGGTCGCAACGAGATATGATCCGATGGTTTCCCAGAGTTATCCCGGACTCCCAATGATCTGTAGATACAGTTCCTTGAACGGTATCCTTCACAAACTGCTCGTGCCAGGTAGCACTCTTGGGTCAACGATGAGAGACGCTACGTTACCCAGCACTCAAGTCTTACGCTGGTAAAAGACCGCAATCGAAGATTCGAAGAGTCTTCTGCGCAGCGTTCCGCAGGTTTCCTTCCGTTTTTCCCTGCTGTGGCCCCCAGTGTCTTGACCTGGCAGTTGTTTGGGCGGGTCCGCCCAGCACTCCTATCCATCGCCAGTAAAGCTGTCGGAGTAGGCAAGGATCAAAAGAGTGCTATTGAAGAGGCCCCGACGGAGGTACGGCTCTGTACGCCTTATAGTATACGGTTATTGTAGACATTTTCCTGCAAAGTAAGCTGCTTGATCCCCGCAGCAATCACAAACTACATGGAGATAGGCAAAGCCGCAGGGCTGAGAGACGCGTGGGGATGTTTCCTCGATGCACTTCGATGCACTGCGGCGAGCTTTGTGGGGGAGGCGGTCAACATTTTCCATGTCTGGCAGGGTCAAGGCCCAATTCTCGCAGCACGAGCTACGCACTCCCTCCTCGGAGCTGGCTGTTGGACCCCTCCAAAGAAGAGCTCAACCCGCCAGCCACCGTGTGGGTCCCTGCCGCAAAATCCTGAAGAGGAGCGCCCCACTTTGGGCTGATTCATCCAACCAAATCCAAAGTTAAAGTCAGACCGCGCCCTCAAATCATCTTGCGGCTTTCCCTCGTCTCTCCTCCTTTTCCCTCGCACAACCAATCAAGCACCCAAGTGTCTCCCCACCCGACGACCGTTCCAGCACTGGGGGCCTGCCGACCCGGCTTCGTCAAACCAATCGTCGAAGAAGACCCAAAAGAATTTCATCAAATCAACGGCCGTTTTGAATCGCAACATCGTCATCGCGCAGCCCAATAAGGACTGCCAGAGCAGATCGGTCGCGATCCAACAAGGCAGCCTCGTCTGAGTCGCCCTGCCGCCTCGCTTAGTCACCGTTCTGTCAAGATTCGCGCTTGCAGGGTGCTTGCAGCCCGTTGAACCCTGTCTTCCCGCTGCTGCGCGCACTGCAGTAAGAGAAGCTTTGACTAGCAACACCAGTGCGCTTGTGCAATCCCAAGGAAGCCTTCTGATTCCTGGTTTCATCAGCCCAAGTGGCGCAGCTGCTGTTTTTGGTACGTACGTCACCATTTCCATTCCGGTAACCGTGTACAGCAATCCGCGTGAGGGCCAACGCGTCCATACTTGGTTTTGAATATCGGGTTTTGCCAGCAAGTGCTTGCAGAGCTACCCTGCTAAGCGCCCAACTGAGACCGGGATGTGAAGCAAGCAGAGTGCACACATCGACCCTTCAATATTTGTTTCCCCACGAAGTCTTTTTCTGTGGCGGACTGGTAGAGCATCACGGTGTCTGCAACCGGACAGTGGACTCACACGCTTACAGATCCTTATTTGGAATATTCAAAACATAGCCTGGCGCGACTCCCATAGGCGCTCGCCAGCCAGTCATCTCTCGGCGTAACCAACCGCCCGAGACAACTGAGCGAATCACCGGGCATATTGTCCCCACTAACACTAGGGGCAAAGACCGTCAGCTCGGGGACCTATCACCACCTTCGACGGCGATACTAATCTCACCATTGGCCACGGCCCGGTCCCGTGATTGTTCCTGCCTGCGGACCGCAATTAACTCGATCTCGCGGCTGCTCAATCAACGTCCCCATCGCCTATCCCAAGTGCGGCTCTGTGTACTGGGCACAAGGGGTATTATTGAAGTGTGGAGTCTGTCGAAACCGCAGCTCCATCATTCTTGTGGCTGTAAGTGCATGTCTCTATGTCCCTCAGGTGTGGCAGATCTCTGCGGACATGCCCTGCCACATTTCGGCGCTTTCCCTATTGTCTTATTCCTGCCTGTGTATACACTTATTACTAGCTCCTGGTTTGCGTTTCCAACTTAAACTGTGATGACCTCATGCCATGTGTACATATTACCTTGGCCACTTATTTTCTCACCGCGTGAACGATGTTGTGCTGACGATTATTCAGACTAAACAGCGCCTCTGGGTAGCAGAGTAGTCTGGTCAGATAGTGGTGAGTACTTCCCTCACTTGAGCTCAATTGTTGCCCATCTGGTTGTGTTTGGTTCTGTCTTAAGTGGACCGCACCACTTGTCTTGCAAACCTTACATCCGTTCCTTCACCACTTTCTATCCGCTCAGAGAGACAGTCGTGAGAGATAGAAGAGTAGCCCACCAACATCTCAACTCGACTTTTGCATGCCCGACCGAGTGGCTTGGCATCAACCGCAGACAGCCTGGTGGCCTCATCCGAGAGGGTTCAATAGAGAATTGGGGCTCCTGGGACGGCCAGGCTCTGTCATCACCAGCCTGACGCCTCAACCACATCCTCGTTTTCCTATTTTGGCGCTGCTACCCAGATCGGTTTGGGCAGATGAGCTGGCTCGCAGAGTGGACCTGCGGTGCATATCCTGTTATGCATGCCAGCGCATCAACTGGCCTTGGCCCTGGCCTCAGGCGTCAAAGCGATGTTCCCCACCATAAATGCAGCCCCACCTTCTCCCTTCCCCTCCTTCCCTTCCCCTCTCTCCCTCCAGTCCGGCCTCACCGTCGGACGCTCATATACTGCCATGCGATAGACCAAGTCGCTGACATGAGAAAAATGCTAGATCAGGACCAGTACCCAGTTTATTTTGTCCAGTGTGGCCTCTGCATAGACGCTGGCACTTTGCCTTTACTCTCAGTGTAGGACTTACGCATAAATTGAGGCAAGCTCAGCCATTCTCACGTGGCCGCGCTTGTTCTCCCCCAACTGGGCTACTTCTCTGAGTCTCGCCTGGCGACTACTCAGCCTGCATATGCTGCTGTGCAACCAAGTGCGCAGACTGCCTGCTCTCCCCTTGACTGCCAACTCATTGCTGCAATAGATTGGGTGTGCTGTTCTACGCCCAACCCACTCAGGGACAGAGTACTTCGTTGTCCGTCCCTTAACCCAATCACTTCGAGGCGCTTGATTCTTTATCAGTGGTTTCAAAGACTTTGGAAGCGACCCGACTGGTAACTCAGCGCGCCTCGGCCACTGGTCTTCTGGAACCTCAGTTTACCCGTAAACTAACAGCACTCAACATTCCCTACTCAGTTTTATGCCTTTGCATTCATAACAAGGTTATTGCTTCGAAACTTAACAGCGCGTCTCATCATTCCGTCCAGCCGCCTTTAGGATGATGGAATACGCCCAATACCAGCAACAACCGCAGACCGCGCATTCACAACCTCATATTCAGACTGGTTACCCAAGTTCGACAGGTGGCAACAACATCACTTCACCATCAACTCAACATCTTTCTCAAACATCACCAATTCTTCCCTCTCAGCAACATCAGCCATCGCCGACTCAAACCCACAATATGTATCAGACGCAGTACGCGGTGCCGCAGCAAAACATGCATTACGGCATGCCTGGTATTCAGGCCGCCGCTATGGCAGCAACGGCAGCTGCTTCCGGATCTTCATACCCATACATGCCGTCAGATCCAAGTCTGCAGCAGTCCCCGAGAATGTCGACGGTCGGTGCGAAGAAGGATGCCAGGGCAGGACCGCGCTCTCCCCAACAGATGAATAACATCCCTCAGCAAAGGCGGATGGGCCAGGTTGCCAGTCCGGGTGTTCCGAACGCGCCGACGATGCTTAACCACGGTGGTGCCCGCCCTGCCGTTCCTCCTCCGATGGTCGCAGCTCAGCAAATGCCGCCTGCTCAGTCTCCTGAGATGTCATCTGGTGCCGTTGAAGAGACCCCTCTCTACGTCAACGCCAAGCAGTTCCACCGGATTCTTAAGCGTAGAGTTGCACGTCAGAAGTTAGAAGAGGCACTTAGACTCACCAACAAGGGCCGGAAGCCTTATCTCCACGAGTCGCGGCACAATCATGCCATGAGACGCCCGCGTGGTCCTGGTGGTCGTTTCTTGACCGCTGAAGAAGTGCAACAGATGGAGAAGCGCAAGCGGGAGGAAGCTGAAGCTGCTGCGAAGGCTGCTGCGGAAGGCTCCGAGCAGAAAGAGCAGCAGAACGAGCAGCAAGGCGAACAACAGACACAATCGGAGCAACAGCAACAGCAAGAAGCTGGCAACAAGACTCCGACTGGTGCGACCAAACGGAAGTCGGATAGCTCTCCGAGCACTGCATCCAAGAAGCCAAAACAAGGGTCAGATGAAGGCGGCGACGAAGAGTAACGCAATATGGATAATAACAACTTGTGGAGCAAGGAAATCGGAAGGGAGGTAGCGCTTTGGTTTTATACCCAATCTCTGTTCATAAGAATGTCTACGAAGTTATGACACGACCTATCCTTTCATCCTCTTTAGAGACCAGTTTGGCAAGCAATGGCAAATCTCTGGCAAAGGAGTCTTTTGGGGTTCGGCGACGGTCGCGTCTCTTTAGCTTTGACTTTTCGTTCTCCCCCCTTTTTAATCTCCTTTTCAGATTATGCAACATCTCCTCTCTGGGTCTTCCGTAGGATTCTTGCATCGGCACAGTAACTTCTGGGGGGTGAAACACTCGCTTTATATGGACATAAACTTTGGGTGCGTTAGGGGCTTTTGCGTGGGGAAAGCGGGGGCATCTCTTGCTGTTCATTCCATCGTTCGATACCATTACAGCTTTTCGCCTCACAGCATCAGAAGTCTTCATTCGGGTTGGGTCGGCCTTGCGTTGTGTGCTTGAGGCGATGGGCGGACGGTTGGTCAGCTGGGTGGATGGTGGGAAGGATGATTGGTTTTGGACGGACGTGGTGTGAAGGGCCCTCTGGTACTTGGGGACCGGATGGGTGATATGGGATAGGACCTCTGGATTTTGTTGGCTGGTTCGGGGTTGGAAGGTAAAAGGGGGGACGGGAAGATTGCTTACCACACGGTTTGACTGAATGGAATGGCTACGATCGGATACCCCCCCTCAGAAACATATATATTCCTCTGGCTTCATGTGCGATTTTTGTCCATTGCTATGAGTTGTGTCTATGGCGGCTCCTCCCCACTGTTTTTCCTGGAAGTGTAGGGCTGTGAGATAGTGGAAATAGTCTGGTTGCCGCTGCCCTTGATCTTTATAACAGAACGGAACTGTGGCCCCAGGGGTGAACATGGAACTGAGGATACCAGACTAAGATATGGGCAATTCAAGTCCTCATGGCTTGTCATGAGGTAGAATGGTGGAGGGTTTATACTTTAGATGTATTGTTTGTGCATATAGTGACCTCTTTGTTTCGTTTGATGACTTAGAGTTTTCTCGCAACTGTCCTGGATTCCAACCGATGGGCGATGTACTCATACGGTCCATCGATAATGTACTTTCAGTGATAGCAAACCATCGGCTCTCGTGGCGAACGCTGATAAAAGTATGCCTATGTCACGCTTCGACAGCTCAATTTGAAAACTTGTTGGGACTTCTCCAGCAGCAATGGATAAAGCGGTTGTCTTAATTGATGCCTCGAATATCAGGCGAAAAAGACTGTTGTGCGCAGGGTCTTGTACTGAAAGTAATATTACGTACGATTACGGACTTTACAATGCACCTTACGTGTAACACCAAAGTGGGACCAGTTTCCAACCAAACAATATCTGCCACAACCAGCATCTGAACCTCTCCCTCATCCTCATCAACCATTTTCTCACTGAACGGCGTTGCTTGTTTTGTGGCGCCCAAATACGAAAGATGTTGTTCTTCAGGTATGTCATGAAGTATATGTTATGAGTCACTAACATTTGTTGTTTTAATGGCGAGCTGCAGTTTTGTTTCAACGTCGTTCACTGATGGGCAAGTTCCCACTTGAACTGGGAGCTGTCATCAAACGACCCAGCCCTGTCTTATCCTGTAGAAAGTTTCATGGAAGCATCCTGCTTCGCATAATACCTCACTTTACAAGGATATGTCACTCACATTCAACAAGGCATATTTTTTTTGAGTGAGGAAGAGTGATGGCTTGACCGTCTCTCAGCCCCATGCTCTTGACTACTCCCTTACCCCCTAGCTCTGCTTGTTGCTCAGCTTGGGCTTGGTTTCAGCAAATCGCCACCCATTTGGACTTCATCTTGGTGGGAATTTCTTACTAAGCATGACACAGCTTTTTTAAGACCCTCATCGACCACGAGGTCACGGTCGAACTCAAGAACGATATCCAGCTCCGTGGTATCCTGAAGAGTGTTGACCAGTACCTTAATATCAAGCTCGACAATGTCCAAGTCATGGAGGAACTCAAGTACCCCCACTTGGTAAGCAAGGTCCTTTTAGTATAAGGAGTATTTGTTTCGCTGGACAAAAGACCGATCGATGAAACACTCCTGCTGATGGTTCATGGACCAGAGTGCCGTTAAGAACATCTTTATCCGCGGCTCCGTTGTGAGATACGTTCACTTACCGGCTAGCGCAGTGGATGTGCAACTGTTGGAGGATGCTGCCAGAAGAGGTGAGTCTGGCTTTTTCTCATGATGTTCCGGAACGAGTCTCATACTAACATTTTGATAGAAGCCCAGAACCAGGCTGTGAAGGCTAAATGAGCTGCATGTAATCAGCAGGAAGATTGAGACAACGCAAAGAGTGCAATAAGCGTTCGAGTTGTGAAGCACGGTGCAGCTCCTGTTGCCACTGCGGCGCTCTGTATTGGTGGAAACTAAGCAGAGATAAGGCGAAACATAATGAACGAGAAGAGAGGAGACAACGTGTCAATGGCCGATGGAATCAAGGGTGATGACGCGGGGCCATCTCTTCCACATGCCTTTACAATGCATCCCATAAAGACTTACCGTGCTTTTGAGACACCAAGTAACGGCCAACCTGAATGCAGATATGAAGTGCTTTGGCCATATGGGCATCTCGCCCTCCTCCGTCCCTTGCTGAGTTCATTGCAGTGGAATAACTCAAATCGTATTCTAAATTTGCTCAGATATGCCGCATTATTTCTACCACTTGCTCCGCACACCCCTTTGCTGCGTAAAACTATGAGACCCGGATCTCATGCAAACCATGCTAAGAATGAAGTAAACAAAACCAGAGATCGACACAGGAAAATTCGTATTGGTAACCCCAGCCCACAAACTCGCGAGCAAGCAAAAGAGGCGAACTCCGCCTGAACAAGTCTCGCAGCCTTCTTATTCCCCACCCATCGCCATCTCGCGAACTTCCCCGAGCCCACAAAAGCTAACCTTGGTTTTGTGACGAGGCTGATAAGAGGCTTATTTTGGAACGGCTTTCCTAACGAGGAAGCATTGGGAGCTTGGCTCAGTTGGAAGAGCGCAGGTCTCATACCCAAGGATCTTATCCCAGCATCCGAAGTATGATCGGGCTAGACACCCGAGTAATCCTGAGGTCGTGAGTTCGAGCCTCACAGTTCCCATTTTATTTTGCAGTCTTCCCCCTTACATAGGCTCCATGATGGATGTTTGCTTTCTATTTTGGAGCCTTTTAACTTGATATCGAAATTACGTGGATGCTGGGTTTCCCAATTAAAGATACCCCTCAGGGATCGAAGGGCTTATATATCACCCTTATAAGTTTAAGGGGATCCATACTATATACATAAAAAATGTCGGCTCAAGGCTCGCGTTTGAGTCATTTTACCAGTAAACAGCTCCTCCTTTCCCATCCTTTCCATCCCACAATCTCTCCTTGTCTTCCCCATTGCCATTCCTCTCATGCAAGACCCGCACTAACCCACCCCTCTTTCTCTCAGCAATCCACCTATCAATCCACCCTCTCATCCTCTTCCTGCTCGTCTCATTGCCCACATTAACCGTCGGAACAACCTTCTCGATCTGCAGTGCCATTAAGAACAACGCCAGCTCCCGGAAGCTGCTGTGCTCGCTGTATGGCACTGCAAAGCACATCGCCTCAGTCGCATTCCCGCCCCGCTGGGGCACCAGATCTCGAGCCGTAATCTGCGGACGCCACTGTGGGCTGTGGAGAAGTTGCGTTGTGGGCAGAGAGTTGGGAGGTAGGTTGGCGAGGTTCTTGGGTGCAGACTTTGAGACAGAGGGTCGAAAATTCCAGCCAGACGGCCGGAACCCCACGATCTTGCTGAAGTGTCCCTTGAAGCCCTGGAGGTACTGTGCTAGTGTGTCGGCATTTATGTCCATCAGCGCGTGCATGTGCACTTGGGCTTCGCGTGGGTCGGAGGTCAGGAGGGCGGTCAACTCAGGGTCGTCTAGTTGGCGACACATGCGCAGCTTGGCTGGCGCTGCGTAAATCTTGGTCTGGAGGGCCTGTGCGATGCCTACACATATGCGTTCCTTGCCGATTGAGTATGTGCCGCAAACGACTAGGAGGCGGTTGCGAGGCTGACCAAGGAAGGTAAGGGCATTTGTGGAAGGTGAGCCTGATTTTTGGTTGCTGGACGAGGAAGAGAACGATGAACTGACAGTGAGAAACTTGCTGACGGATTCTATACCTGGTTGATGGCCCACTTTCCCTCGACATAGAAGCCCATCCCATACAGAGTTGTCGTTGGCCGTGATGCTCTTGTTGAGCATGGCACATAACTCTGCGCATGCCCGTATCACGTCACTTTGTGGGGGAAAGGAGTAACGTGGGTTCAAATAAGTGGTATCGAGATAGCAGACATCGATTTTCTGCTGTTTTGTGCGGCTTGAGATGGCATCAACGGTCTCGGGCTTCAACAGTGGATGCTCGACGTGAGCAGGACATGCTCGAAAATCGCCACAATGGAGTATTCTCTGTACTCTTCCGCCGCTAAGGATTTTCTCAAAAAGAAACATTGAACTTCCAGGACAATGATTTGCGGGGATCATGGTGACAGTGACGCCATCGGTATCGGGCACGGCCACAGTCGTGTTAAACTCCAGTTCAACGACATATTTTGCCGCCGTTCGCAGTTGAGACTTCACCAGCGATCCAGTTACTTTGCTGCAATAGATCGGACCATGCGTCCAATTGGCCGTCAATCCCATATAATGATCGCTGTGGAAGTGGCTGAGGAAGTATGCCTTGCACCCCTTTACAGCACCATATCGGAAGGCGTCCACGCAGATTGAGAAGCCCGGCATGATCTTGTAAAATGGACATGTCCGTTTGTACGCGGGCAAGCCGCGTGAGGCATGCTCGGCCGCAGCGGCTGTGGCCCAGGCACGGTCTTCGGCATGGCTAGACATGAGCTTGGCAAATGCTGAACTGGACGACGACGACCTTCCCCCAACAATGTTGTCATCAAGAATGATAGGATTCGGTTGTCCTTGGCGAGGAATTGCCGCTTTGACAGACCGACTTCCTATATTGATTCCATCAATGGCGACACCGGACTTAGGTTGTGGTAATGGGGTTGGGTTTCCATCAAGACATGAGTTGACATGTGCTGTAGCCTCGTCCACGCTGGCACCGGCAAGACTGCCGTTGCAGACAGGACAACACTCCTCCATGGCGTCGTTTTCATCGATGCCACTATCTTCTCTATCCTCTTCCATTTCAAATCGTGCTTGTTCTTCCATGTAGCGCATTGCTTCAAGTTCCTCGCCAGTAAATTCCTCATTCATATAGGCGTCACTGTCAGGATTTGCTAGGCATCCTTCAGCTCGGTCGGGTATGTCATCGTAGCCTTCATTATTGCCGAGCTTTTCGTCCATCGGGGTTTCATGCCATACAAATGGCACCTCCCTGTCAAGTCTGGTGCCATTGGTAAGTTCACCTGGTCCTAGATCCTTAATGGATATACACTCGCCGACCGTAAAACTAGATTCGTGCGATCTCACCCTTAAGTTTGAATTTTGCTTCTCATCTTCGTCCTCAGAAGATGAATCTTCAAGGAACGGCATTCCTGGCCTTTTCATCTTCTTTTTGATCAGACTTTCCTTGTCTCTCGCTTTCTCATGCGCTGACTGAGCCTCAGTCCGAGACTCAAGGAGATTACCATCCTCGGAATTGAGCCTCCTCCGCTTCACAGGCCCCCCTGCTTCGTTAAACCTCTCCGTTTCCCCTTCATCAGCATGGGAAATTTGCTGGGGAGGAGTTGCCCCATATATGTCCTCTTCATGGCCTTCACCATTGTCTCGCACTCCGACATCGAGGTATGCAGCCCCTGTCTGCGGTTCCTCATCCTCCTCATCTTCTAATAATGTACAGTCATTTCCTTTGCCGACAAAAAGCTCCTCATCTTCAGGCCGCGGTGCCTTCTGGAAGAAATTCAGGATACTGTGGTTGGGCTTCTCCTTTCCAAGGAGCACCTGCTTTGGCTTTGTCGTTGCTGTCGACTTTCCCGAGGAAGTCAACGAAGAAAAGGCTTGGGTAAGTCGTATTTGCCGTTTTTGCGGCGTTTTATTCGGCCCAGTCTTGGTTTTATGTGGCGTTGCGGATGAGGATGACGTTGAGGAGGATCTTGTTACAAGACGGGTCTGGGTCAGTTTTGACTTCGCCATTCCGTTTTTTCCTGTAATTATGCCGTGGAGGGGTAGAGTTGAATGGGAGTCGCTCAGGATATGGTATCTGATACTCCAAAAGGGCTCTAGGAGGATTGGCAGGCTGTAATAGGATGTGCTGAGATGATCAATTGCAGAAGATGGGAATGCAAAGACAAAACAGTGCCAGTCCAATAAAACATGATTGGGAGTGAAAGAGGTGGGGTGTTTAGCAAAGCCTTGACGCGGACGCGATCTCGCGTTGTCACGTGCATCTAATCAAAACACTTATCAGCCCGGGATTTTGGCCGATCTTTTTCTTCTTTACCTAGTGAACCAGCTTAAACCTTACCACTTATACAATAGACTCGCACTCACTTAGGCGTCTAGGTGTCTTAAACAAAAGCAAGACTGAAGCGTGGAGGACAAAGAGCGAACAAAAGGCACAGGACATGCAACTCTCAGTTTGGGAAACTCGACTGCAATCACAATCCCATTTCATTTTTGATACCTCCAGTCACAAGACCACTAGTATTCCCAAGAAGCCGATCGTAAACCAGTAACAAATTACTCCTCCGCATTTTCGTTCTCGTCGTCCTCGGCACCCTCCTCCTCCTCGTCTAGACCACCAGGGGGAACCTCGTACAGGCGGAGAATGCTCTTGTTGGGGTCCTTGACGAGCACATACTTGCCATCGTCGCGCTGCAGGACCATGTCAGCAATGGTGCGCACGATACCCCAGCCGTTGGACAGTTTCAAGTTCATCTGAGAAGCAAAGTCCTTGGGCTTCCAGCCGATGACGCCCAGGATGACGTGTTTGTCATTGACCTTGGGCGAAGCGCGTGACACGAAACTGCACTCTGGTTAGCCTGTCATATAGGCAAGGGGGAAAGAGGGAGGGCACCAAACGTACCCAATCTTCATGGTATCGGCATTAGCTAGAATACTCTGCACGGTCCAGCGAGCCAGCTTGCAGCTGTTGTTCTTCATCTCGGTAGCAACGACAGCACCGCGCTGAGAGACGAGCTTCGTCCGCCAGTCCAGGGCGCCGCCAGCGCCGGGAGCCTTGCTGTCGAACTCGTTGAGCGCATGGACCGTGATGAACTGGTCCTCACCAGTGGTGGGGTTCTTCTGGACAGCATCGAGCTCAGTGCGGACAACGATGAACACGGGGTCCTCCTCGCTCGTCGACAGGTCGAAGCGGCGGTACTTGTAGGCCTTGGACGCCGGCGGTTCAGTCTCCTCGGATGCGCTGTAGAAGGGGTTCTCGTGCGCCATGTTCACTTTCTGGCTCTCAACGACAACCTGGTTGGCGAAGTTGTGGTTGATGTAGGTGGCCTCCTCGGCCAACGCGCTAGGCTGGTTGATGCCATCGCGTGAGTTGTCGCCCTCAATCGGGGCGTCAGCAGCATTCTCGTTGACAGTAACCATGTCAAGCGCGGCATTATCACGCTTGTCAAGGAAAACCTTGTTGCCCTGCTTAACAAGAACAATATCCCACGGGTAGACAGACCGCGGAGCGCACATGAGCATGGAGAGGATGCTGTCCGTGGCAAAGATGGTGCCCTCGTCCTTCTCGGCCAGCTCCTGGATGACGGGATCGGAAGAGGTAGTGACATTGTACACGGCACGGTCGATGACCTCCAGCTTACGCTCGGCGTTCTTGACGGGAGGCTTGTCGTAGGAGCGGTCGTAGTAGTAGAGGAAGCCATAGCTGTCGAGGTCCTCGCCCTCATCAGCCTCCAGATTCAGCTTGGTGAGACGGTTGAAGTCAATCTCCTCAACCAGCTTCCAGTCAGGCTTGATGTTGATCGAAGCATCGCGAGCGCGGGCTGGCTTGTCGTAGTCCTTCCAGCCGAAGCGACGGCCGCGCGCTCCGGAGGAGCGGCTACCACCCCGACCATCGTAGGCACCGTAACCGCCGGTCCGACCCGACCGTCCAAGGGCCTGACGACCGGGCCTGGCGGCACCGGTGCGCTGGGTACGAGTCCGGGTGAAGACAGCGCCGCGGCCAAAGCGCGACTTGCCGGTGTCGCGAACATTTGAGACGACGGAGAATGAGGCCTCGTCTTCGGCGACAGGGGCAGCAAAGAGCGAGGCAGAGCCAGCGCCGTAGACCTGCTGGTCACGGTAACTCTTGTACTGCTGCCGGCTGCGGCCGTCCCTGCCCTCCTTAGCCTCAGTCCAGTCGGCCATACGGCCTAGCTTGTCGCCCTTGGAGTAAGGGGCATATGGGACGCCATTGAGGGTGGTCTCATTGGTGATTGGGGGTCCCCAAGTATCATCGGGATCGGGTAGAGAGTTGATCAGGTCGACCAGGGCCGAGGCGCCGGGAGGGGGGATTGCCATCTTGTCAAGGGAAAGACGGTAGGCTGCTCGGTCAGAAGTTAGCTACTAAGTTGGAGATATAAACTATACTGCAATAATCGGCCGGGCGAGGGTTGGGGTACCGACTAATCAACACGTAGTCAGATGGTTCTGAACCGATCGCTGAACAAGCAGCCGTCTGCCTGGCAACGCCCTCGCCTTTTTTGCCAAAGGGTCGAAATTGTTTGGTGGGGGGTGTGTGTGGTGTGGGGAGAGTGGATAGTGGGGCAACTGGTGTAATGAGCTGTAAAATTACCGTCACATATGGACATGAGTGGCCAGCCCCAAAGAATCCTGGAGCACACAGTGTCTGTGGTGAATGATTCATACTTTTCAGCCAACTAACTGAATCACTTTATTTGCAGTTCAGAATTTACCAACCAAAGAATCATGCAATTCGGCATTCACGAAAGACCAGATCACATAGAATTCTTGGTTGGAATTCTACCACTATCCTCGCCAGTTCATCACCTAAACAGTGCGAATGTCCAACGGTAATTCCGTACTCCATATCTTGCTCTGTACTGTGTATGCCAAGAACCTCCCTTGCTTGATCAAATGATGACCAGATCCCTCCCATGCTTCTCAACTTCATATTACCAGATGCGCGAGAGTAGCAGCTCAGGTTCCATGTATTCCACGGGAAACTGGTGAAATGAATGGTATTGATAGCCTTCATACATCGTGTGTCGAACGCTTCCTTCAATCAATATGCCACCCCCAGTTCCATCTTTGTCGCAAAGATGCTCTCCAGCGCATCTCGGACTTCGAACTCTTCCATGACAGCGCCAAAGCTGCCTAACAGTTAGCGCACCCACCCAATACACACAAATGTAACAAAGACAAACAACATACCCATAACACCGAACCTTCCCCTTGAGCTCTTCTGTGAGCCTGACAAAGTCCTCCTCCCTCAACTCAGAAAACCTTGGATGCCCCAGGATCATGCCCCATGCCATGACCGGCGTGATCTCTCCGTCTAGATCCAGCTTCTTGCTCAAGTCCAGGAGCGTGGTCAAGTCGGCTTTACTCAGTTCCCAAGTTCGCTGACCATGGTTCCCAACCGCACTTGTTGAGTCTTGACTAGTACCGCCGTCAGCCGAACAGGCAGTGTTACTCTTGCTTTTGTTTCCGGTGCCGGAGTGACTCCTATTGCCGTAACTGTCACCGAAAGGGATGTCGGGTGTTAAGTCGGAGAAAGGCTCAGGTGGGCATGATGCCATGAGCGCATGGCCACAAGGCTCGTTCAAGCCCGTTTCATAGTTGCGCTCCAGCAACCAGGGCATATGGTTCATGCATGGCTTCTCGAGGCTAAAGGCATTGGTTTGTCAGCCACTACTTGTCACCCATTTGGCTTTGATAGGAACAGGATGGCTCATACGTCAGCACAAAATCAATGCCAATCTGCTCATAGTCCAATACTAGATTTGGACCATGGGTCATTGCTTCGGCATTCGCCTCCATGGGCCCCTGCTGGCATTGGTCATGTCCTGGGGGATAGATCGCGCTGTGTGGTGAGGTGCCACAGCAGCGATGGCTTACCGTGCACGCAGACAGCGGCGGAGGGGTAAACGCAGTTGAGTTGCTGGATCCTGGGCCGTAGCTCCCGGCTATACTAGAACTGGACATGCAGCTGGTGCTTTGTTGGCTCATCAAGTCTTCTGTCACGGGCCTTCCATAGTTGATACCGACTTGGGCAAGTAGCGTCTTCAGGCGACGGTTCTCTTCGACTAACCGCTCTTTTTCACGGGCGATGTTGCTAAAAATTTCCCTTAAGCGGAGCACCTCATCCTCGAGTGCCTTGATGTAGGCTTCTTTTCGCTCCCGATGTGTCCTTTGAGCTTGCCGGTTAAGCTCTTGACGTCGAGTTAAGGCAGGTTTGCTGCCTGGCTTAGGACCACGCCTCTTAGGTGGATTTCCATCTGCGACTCACGTCAGCTTTTGAGATGCTCTTTATCTAGCCATCCCGATTGATAACAATCACATACCTCTTGTGGCCCTCTTCTCTGCGAGAGTCTTAAGAATACTCAAGTTAAATACAGATAAAGGGTCGGTATCCTGGCCGGAAGTCCCGGTACTATAGCTGGGCTGTGGTAACGAGTTTTGAGGAGATGCAGATGCCATTGTTCTTGAATCGTATAGAGATGAAAGGGATGGCTTGCGCTGTGGGGACGAACAGGTTGGCTGTGAGGGGAAAGCCGCAGCTATACAACCGATGTCAGCAGTCATTTTGGTAACAGTGCTTGATCCAGTATCAATGATGTTTGTCCCAGTTTGACAAGACTCTTGATAAAGTCCAATTTTAAATAGAAAGGTGGAAAGGGCTAACATTGGGATTCTATCCCTTTTCAAGCTTCCTAGCAATCAACATGCACGCTGGGATCAAACAGCGGGACGAAAGGGAGCGGAAGCGATCATTCATGGCAGAGCACTCACCCGATGCAACAATGGGAATGCGACAATGGTACTCAACAGATTGCAATAACAACGATAGGGTGCTCGCAGTGAGACAGGATAGTTAACAGCCTAGTTTATACTACAAAGGGTATGGGCTTGACGAGAGACTGGGCGTGGTGCTTAGCATTGAAGTGTAGGAGCTTAAGGATGATGATGAAACTGTTGCCGAACGGAGATGTGTCGGAGGCTATGGCCTGCAGGGGTGAAGGGGAGGGCAGCAGAACAGCCAAGCTTGGCAGTCGATACCACGAGATACAGCAAATTGTCCCGAGGATATAGGCTTTGTCTTGGTCATGTCAAAATTGTGATATCAGCGATGCTGTGTTAAACTATCGATGGCTCTCTCAACCAAGCGCCGAAGGTTAATTGGATCTTGGTCTTGGGAAGAACTCCACCGCGGCTCCAGGTCTGTGACGACTTGCTGATCTCGCAGCTGGCGCCAGCTTAGCGATCTTATCTTGACGTCTCAGGTTCCACTGCTGTGTGAACAGTTTTCAACTCCTGCATCCTGTGAGAGCTGAATATTCCATGCTATCGTGAAGTGGGATTTCATGTACCAGCTTGGATAAGATCTTCATATAGACTTTGTTCATATCACAAAAGTGCATAGTGTTGTTTGTATCCTGTCCATTCACTCTTCTGCACTGTATGGATCTGTAACAGCTCGGATGCTCTTATACTGTGTAGTCGATTCTCCACACTGGTTTCTGAGAGCCAGGACTGAGTGGCCAAGCTTTCGAGCACCGCACGGGACAGCAACGCCTCTTAACCCTAAGCATTCTGAGCTCTGTGATGTCCTAGTGTCTGTCTTTGCCTCAATGCTGCATCGTCAAAATGAGATATATGAAAGTACTATTTTGATATGGGTATGGTGCTGTGGTAATTGTGGTTAATACCTGCGCAGTTCAACAAGCGATCAGGTAGGTACCTAGGTGGTTTTTTTGTGCCCTTTCTTGGCCCAGTATTCGAGCTGGGCTTTCTTTTTGGTCGGTTAGATTCTTGCCGAGGCATTGCGGCTTTCCAACTGAGGATGGCTCAACCCAGTTCCGGCATACCTTCTGTGTTGAACTGCGCTGAAATCAACATTTTACGTTTGCTCTCTCAGGCAAGAGGGACATTCAGACCAGAGAAATACCTACCTTACGGACAAAGGGACCAAGAATATCCATCATGCAATCTGTTTTACAGTTATTGAATCCTTGTTATCCACTTCAGGTTACAGCAACGGCTCCGCATGTGACTGGTACCTGGACTTTTCCCCGCAGCTCGGCCCCTCGGTCGAGGTCACCGTTTCAAGGGAAAACCTCCGGCACTCGAACTTCTGAGTACAATCTCTCCATAAGTTAAGGTTGAAAGTCCACCGAGTCAGTGAGGCTTTTCACTTTGTTGTTTTATATGGCTTCATACTGATTCCTCCGTTCTATGCTGCCTGTGTGTTCTCTTCTGCCGGCGGCGCCAGCTTGAAAGCCGGTTCTTCAGCAGCGGGCAACATATTGTCATCAACATCAAGCTGCTTCAAGTTATCATTCCTTCGATCACCGCCCGGTTGCTGTTTTTGGATGTGTCCAAAGTTGTCTGGTTTGCCGCTCAGATACGGGGTGTGCACTTCTGCTACTTTCTACCTGTCCTTGAGGAGTCTTTGGCCCATCACTGACTCGTAGTTTAGGAAGCCCGGTAGTCCATAACATTGTGACATTCTTCAGACCTTGCGCAGGCCCTTGGACAACTGGGCTTGTTGGTACGACACGCCCGCCAAGCTCCGATCACCTCTCTCCGACCATTTGTCGCCAAGACCGGATCCTATCCCCACTTCCCCGGCACCACGGCTCCGGGACTTGTTTGGTCCACACCGTTGGGGTCCGGAACCTTGCTATGGCAGCACACTCAACATCACATCACATTCACTGGCTTTTGCCAATGGATGGGGCAGCCAGGATAAAACAACTCCTCCGGGTTTTGCTACGAACTCACCTTCGCGGGTTGATCAACCTCCAGCCAACGCTCCTCCTTTTGATGGTCACGACCATCATCCTTACCGCTCTTCATCCACTGAAGGTGCTCTATCCTAACAAGTGCTATGAACTCTCATCAAAGTTCATCCTCCCTGTCTGGAACTGGCTACAGTACCTGTTCGAAAAGCACAATGGTGCAACTATTACGTTTTCGGGAGATGACCTTCCCCCTGGAGAGAGCGCAATTGTCATAGCAAATCATATCGCTTGGGCCGATTACTTTCTCATCCAGGCACTTGCAAAAAAGGCCAGTATGTTGGGAAGGACAAGGTGGTTTGCGAAGAAAGAGTTGCAAGCAGTTCCAATCCTTGGTTGGTAAGTGTCTGGTACTCTCGTTGGCAAGGAGGGGTTGTTGGGGTTTTTGTATCGTATCAATTGCTCTCAATATGAGACATCTAGTCAGAACTGTGAGCCCACTAACATTATCATACATGTAGGGGGCTGGTAGCCATGGGAATGCCCATGGTCAGTAGGCGTTGGGAAGCAGACCGACTTGTGGTCAAGTGCTTCCTTGACAACATCGTAAAAGGAAAATGGCCAATCTGTAAGTCCATCTTTGGCTTTTCCAGTCCATCACTCTCGCCACTGTAGAGCATCTAGGGACTTATCAATGGACCGACCTCCAGGGCTTGTCATATTTGCCGAGGCCACACGCCTCGTTCCTGAAAAGCGACTTAAGTCAATGCAATGGTGCGAGCGCCACGGAAAGCCTCAGCCGAAACACCTGCTGTATCCCAGAACCAAAGGGTTTACCACAGTGGTACAGCGCTTGCGCGAAGCGGCCCACATCAAAGCAGTTTACGATCTTACCGTCGCATACCAGCGCGGTCGGGACTGGCTTGTCGCGCCTAATTTTTGGCACGCGCTCTCTGGTCCGCATCTCAGCGAGCCCGAAGAACGAGGCGGAGGCGGATACCGCTTTCATGTGCATAGTCGGCGGTATCCTATCGAGGAACTTCCCCGTGATGAGGCAGGATTAGCCAAATGGTTAGAAAGAAGATGGCTCGAAAAGGGGGAGTGGCTGGAAAAGAAGAGGATTCAGTGGGCTGTTGAGGGGCAGAGGGCGGCTGATATGGCCGGTTCAGCCCCATGTCCGTCGGAGGAGCTTGGAAAGCAGTGTAACTGACTGCGATTGAGGCTATATTAGGCCTTGATGTTTTGCTTGCCGCCCAGGGCGAAGTTAAAAGCGTAATGATAGTGGATAAGGCTTGAGTGTACACTGCCCCAACAGGGTTGGTCAGTGTCATAGGCGTGCTCCCAGGCCATATGCGATGCTATTGACCAAGACATATGGAAGTGATGACAACATTACTACTGGGCCTAACACGGAACAAGCACGAGGTGGCTTTTGTACATGACCGTTGCCGTGGCGGCGAGGGAAGGCAGCCGGTGAGACGGGACACTAATTCTGGTCTGACTTTGAGTCTTCCAGTCCGGTAGCCTATATGTAAAAACAAGTAACAACGTCTGTATAACCAGTCGGAAACGGTGCCAATGTGACACAGCATTGAGGAGGAATGAAGAAGAGTTCAGTGTCCATGCAAGGTCAAAACTGGCTGGATAGAGAGGTTCGATCATGGAGGGTAGTGCACTCGCTGTTTTCACTCCTCGATGTAGCTGCAAGATAGAAACCAGCGTTGAAAAGTTGGGTCTATCTCAACTTGATTTGTATCTTGAACGTTCCGGTAGTTCAATGCAGTGCATACCTTACATATAGTTGGCTGCCAGTGAAGTAATCATGTTATCTTCTAACTTACTCTTCGACCACAGCGTTGAGTTACCTAAGCTAAGAACACTGGTTCCTTGATGCAGGCAAGCCCGGGCATAAAGCGCGACATCCGTCGCCTCTCAATAATGTATAAGATAAGGCGGCATGAGTGTCAATTGTGTCTTTCCATGATCTGGTGAGAACAAGTTGAATCGAAGATTTTATCATCCAGTACGGCATTGTAGTCTCCTGATTGAAGAGACAGCAGCGAGTCTGGACCTCTTAGGGACGCAGGTACCCCTCCCGGACAAAACTCGAGTGGGTTGAGTGGGTTGACAACGTGTGCTGACCGTTGGCAGTCAAGGCCGGTAACCTGATATCAATGTTGTATTGCATATCTCGGGCTTCCTAGTAGGCAAGTCATCTGTGGCTGAAATATCAGCCAAATAGCCTCAACGGAACCGCTGCGGTGTTACATGGCGGGTTTGGACTGCCCAGTTGCTATGTCAACCGTCACGATTTCCACTACTCGAGAACTGTGTGCCAGGAGCAGTAACATATCGAAGGGTCGTATTCCTGCAGCTGAATGCTACCTAAGGTAGTGTCCTGTGGCTTTCTGTTACCAAGGAACGAAAGAACAGGTAGGGAGCACTGTTCCTGTGTTTTTCTTACACCCAGTAATTCTTATTACCTTGGTCATAAGCTCAGAGAGGAGTTGATGTGAGGAGCATGCTCAACTAGGATTTGTGACATAGGAGTCTCTCGGTTGTTACCAGAGCTCTAAGACTTGAATATAACAACTTACGAAAACTTCCCATGTCAATCATGCCCCAAAGCTCTTAAGAGATGGCATGGTTAAGTGAAGCAACGCAAGGATCAACCAGGTAGCCCTCTCTATTGGTGTTCAAGCTGAGAGCACGGGTGACCCACCAAGATCCAGACCTGCTCGAATCATTCTCATCACTTCAGGTTGTGACGACTAGAGCGTCATCATAGAACCGATCTTGCCTTACAGTCTGAAGTCACTGGTTGGCACAGTACGAGTCAGGGTCTTGGAGATCACCCTAGTGTAGAAGATGGGAGAGCGAAAGCAAGAACAAGAATTGATCTAAGATCCAATAGCAACTGAAGGGCAAGACCACAGAACTACAGATGCATGGCCAGGATGCCAGCAAGATACCTTGGAGGAGAAATGGGGATGATCGACGAGCTGCAGAAGAGGTGGGTAAGAACGCACTGCCAGAAGCAAGAAGAGTAAGATGAACTTAATTAAGGTACTCAGCCAATTAACGCTGCCGCGCGCACGGCGCCCACTATTGGCGGTGTTATCAAGCCTCTGGTGCGACTGGAAAGCATGCAGAAAAGAAATCAGTCAACGAATGGACGAATAGCTTGATGCAGCAATAGCTCCTGGATGCAGCAGTTCGCAGTGGGAGCAGCCGTCTTTCGGTTTGACCTGGGACGCTGGCAAAAAGGTGAGGTCACGTTGGAACTCTTTGACTGGCATGTTGAGCAGCGACTCAGCGAAAATAGGCAGTCCGTCAGCTGACACGGCACAGTGGCTGGGTCGATGTGTTTCTGGGAGCTTGAGCAGGCTAGGAGTGTGCTTTTTATTTATTTAATTTATTTAATCATGTATCTTATTTTATTTTATTTTTTGCGGCCATCCTCGACCAAAAGTAGCTTGTATGGACTAGCTTTGGATTATTGACCAGAGTGATGGTGGGCGGGGCATTCTGTCATTCCGTTTCTTACGCTCCATCCTTTAAATCGGTGTGAGGAACTTGGCTCTTCAAACCCCCCAAGTGGCTGCACACTGGAATCTGGAATGGGTCTCGTTGGAGACACCTTGTAAATGTATTGCCTTTGATACAGGCATACGCCTGACTGGGCAACGTAACCAGACTATTCCTATTCCTTGCGGGCTTCCTTCAGAGCTAAATCAAGGCACAATGCGTCTCAGTCTCATAGTAAGCTTCACGATAGCATACACCTACCTGGGTAGGGATGGGTAAGGTTAAATGTAAGGGAGGTAACCAGAAATTGACTAGCTTTGTTTGAATAACAGCGTTGATACGGATGCCAAACTTCCATACAAAAAACTTGACATTGACTGACGTTTGAAGACAAGCAGCCGAAAGCTGTGGAACAGCAGCGACGGCTTGGGCCTGGAGCAACTCCAGAAGCATCCCAGCACAGAATGTTCAAGTTGTGGGAATCTGATTGGTCAGCGTGTGGGGCTTCCCCGCTTCTAAGGGTACCTCACAACGCGAGTACAATGGAAAAGCCAGGCCGAGCTGCCTTGGGACAGTGCGTACACAGTGTGGTGAGCACACCATAGCGCCTTTTTGGCCGTACCGCACACTTGAAATCCAACGATTGGAACCTGATCCAACCTTGCGCTACCCAGTCACGGCCATTCTCTGGCGCTCTGTTCTTCGAGCAGTTGACGGGAAAGCACAGCCGATTATTATCGCTGATTGCATTGCATCGCATTGCCTCTGTTTTGTCAGAATTCATCACAACACAATTCTAAAAGAATACTAGTGCCAAAAAGCTGACACCGACGCCACCTAATAATCAACGAACAGCAAACAACACCCCCCAATTCGCCGCCTGAAACGGACCACACTGTTGGTGCCCACTGCTTTGGGATATCATCGTTGGTTTGTCTTGGCTCGGGCCTGTCTCCCGAACAGAGATCCCCACTTTTCACCACCTCAGTCTTTCCCGCCTGCACCAACATAACCAAGTGAGGCCAGTTCAGCGACAACAACAGACCACCACCAGGCAATCCTTTGCCCAGGGGCCGGAGACACCGTCCCGTGCTTCCACTGATTGACCGGACGCGCAATTGTTGCAGTCCTGTGAACGATCTCCCTGCAGCCTCGACTTTGAGAGCCGGTAGAAGCAGCATCGCCGCCCACGCCCAACACTCAACCCGAGCCATCCGGCAGCTTGCTCAATCCAAATCATCTTGCCGGTAGCCCTCCGATCATCTGGGTTCTCCGCTTCCTCGGAGTAGAGCATTCACAGCGTCGGGCATCCCACCGCGTCTTTTATTGTCGCGTGTGCATAGCGGCCCCGCATTCCCGGCAACCGCGCAGTCTCCGATTTCTTTTTTGGCCCTGAACAGCGGCACACCTCCGTCAAACCGTGCCACATTATGTCTCAGACTTGTGCGCTGATCTAGCTCTGGCTTCTCTGCCAGAACCTTTTCTTCTGTTCTGGCTGGCTCCCACCGGACCCCCAAACTGCCGTCAGTTTACACATCTTCAAGTCGACCAATCCTCCTCCCGATTCCGCGGGGCCCTAACTGGTCCTTGGGGGCTCGAAACACCCTCTGCCCGTGCAGCAGTGTCGAGTTCTAGGGTCTGAGAAACTTCTCGTGCGAATTCTTTTTCTTTTTCAGTCGAGCGTCGTCAATACCGCTACTATTTTCTGTCTTATTCCTTTACGACGAAGAGATCCGAACGGTCATGCTCCATAATACTGAACCGGCCTCCTTCTGCCTCTGCATATGGTAGTATTGAAGAAGGAATGGATCGGCTTTCAAACCCCGAAGCTACAATGGACGACGAGTCTGCCATTGTCACGCCCAGAATGCTGGTCCCCCCGCCCTCCCCCTCGCTCCGGGTTTCGGCTTCGGCCAGTCCAATGGAAAGATCCCTCAGCGAGAATATTCGGGAAGAAAGGGAGGAACTGCGTGAAGCGGCCGAGCAGACCCTCAATGCCATCATGGACTTGAACATGGATGGCACTATCCGATGGGTTAGCCCTTCGTGGGTGGATGTCATCGGCACTCAGCCTGACTCTGTTGTTGGCACCCCTATCGCAAACCTCATCGTGAGTGACAACAAGAATATTTTCGCAGATGTGGTCGAGAGCATGAGACAGGATGATAGACGAAGCCAATTCATTCGGTTTGTGGTCAATCTGGGCCCCTCCTCCAAGCTCTGGCCCGTCGACGTGCCCAAGGCCCCCCCAGAAGAGCCCGCCCAAGCTGTGGCTATCGACATAGAAGCACAAGGTATTATGATTTACAGCGGGGCCTCTGGTGGAGAGAGTCATGTAAGTTTTTGTCTTCCCCTCGCGTTTCGTCGATCGCCTGCGTTTTGTCAACCGTTGCTAACCGTATGATTTGAGACCATGTGGATGATTCGACCATGGGTTGCCCCGCGCGAAATCAAAATTGACCTCCCTAGAGTGATAGTGGAATCACTGGGGTCTGGTGCTGAGGTTCTTGCTAGTTACCTCACCCAGTTGGCCGAGACGGGTGTGGAGGATCCAGCCCAACACCCACCTCCCCTTCCTGTTCTTTGTCGAATATGTGAGCGCCAAATCTCGCCATGGTGGTTTGAAAAGCACACAGAACTCTGCTTGCAGGAACATCGAGCCGAAATGGATGTTCAGATGGCCCAAGAAGCTCTCACGGAACACCGTCATGCAATTGTAAAGGTGCTGGATGCACTTGAAGCACGGCAGAGCCGGTCAATGACAGGAGAGCAATCGAGTTTGCCCGTGGCTGAATACAAAGGTTTACCCATCGGTCCTCCCCCATCCTCGAACTCGTCTCCAGGCAGCGGCTCGCCAGTCCCCGGTGCTCGATCGCGTGACCGCTCTTCTGGCTTTGGGCATACACGAAATCGGTCGTTTGCAGTTCGCAGACCGCAGGCGAGAATAGTTGAACTGCTGCTCGATCTCTGCGATACGGCTCTGGAGATCAGCACACCAGCACTCAAGGATAACTCAGCCAATCAGGCTGCTCTTGGCGAGTTTCGCACCCAATCTCCCCAATCTGAGAGCAGGATTGCTCAAGTAATGCAGTGGGAGACGCCTACAACGAACACGCTGGAACAAGAACAGGGTCTTGCACTGCTCTGTTCTGACACCGAGCATGTTGTTAAGCGCAAGGTCGATGCTGTCCAGCGTCACCGTAGGATTTTGGAGTATTCTGAGCGCATCCGCATCGAATTTGCCTACATGGTTCAAGACTGCATCGATGCTGCCATGCGCAAGGCTGCTAAGATAGCGGCAGGTCGTTTGAGTGACTCGACAGAAGAGGAGGAGGAGGAAGACATCGAGATGCCACCAGTAATTGAGGAAGGTGTCTTTGCTGGCTCTTTTGAAGACCCTTCTGCCCTGGAGCTGGCTCTTGAAAAGGCTGACATTGAAGAAGACCCCGACAAGCGAAGACTGTCGAGGATGCTGCCGTCTCCACGATCTGCGAGCCCCAAAGAGTGCCCAACACCCCGATCGACCCGTGGCGTCGGGGGTACTATTACGGGGCCAGCTCACTCCCGTCGTGGTTCGATGATATTGGAAAGCGATGCGTGCGACAGTGACGGCAGCCTGCTGTCTTCCGTTGCTACCAAGCCCCCACAGCGGACAGATTCTCCCATGTCCGAGTTTGGTGATTTGCGCAGACACGCAAGTCAAAAGAAGCACAAACGCAGGAGTTTGATCCTGCCTGGCGCCGTGTCTCCGCGCAGGCAAGAATCGCCCTCGAGAGCAGGGCATCCTCCTTCGTCACCGTTACGCATCCATAAGCCTCGGAACCTGGCATTCCCTGGTGTGGACACTGCAGTCGTCTCTCCCGAAGCCTCTCCAATGTTGCCAAGCAGCGAATTTACATCGCCGAACGCACACCATACATACCATCATCGGAGGCAATCGTCAACGGCAGTTCCCATGATGCCACTTGAAGGGGGACCAGCCAAGCCGCCTCCTTCTCCTCGTTTAAGCGCTGTGGTCGGTGGGCCACAGGCTAAAGCAGTTGCCCCGTCAATCAAAGACTTCGAGATCATCAAGCCTATCAGCAAGGGCGCTTTTGGTAGCGTCTATCTGTCCAAGAAGAAGTCCACTGGGGAGTATTTTGCCATCAAAGTCTTGAAGAAAGCTGACATGGTGGCCAAGAATCAGGTTACCAACGTCAAAGCCGAGAGAGCAATCATGATGTGGCAAGGAGAGAGCGACTTTGTTGCCAAGTTATACTGGACCTTCTCGAGCAAAGATTACCTCTACCTGGTCATGGAATACATGAATGGAGGCGACTGTGCGTCTCTGATCAAGGTCTTGGGCGGTCTGCCAGAAGACTGGGTTAAGAAGTACATTGGCGAGGTCGTCCTGGGAGTTGAGCATCTGCACAGTCGAGGCATCGTACACCGCGATCTCAAGCCTGACAACCTGCTGATTGATTCCAAGGGTCATCTCAAACTAACAGATTTTGGCCTGTCGCGCATGGGTTTGATCGGTCGGCAAAAGCGGGCTCTCAACAGCGGTGCTGAGGCAGCCCCTGATATTCTCAAGCACGGCCCGTTTGCTCGCTCGGCTTCCATGGCCTCATCTCGATCCACGTCGATGGACCTCCATGGCCGAAGCCATTCGCCTGGATCTACTCCGCTTATGACGCCGAGCGACTGTTACCCGTCGAGCTTGGGTCAGCCGTCATGTTTTACCTTGGGCTCCCTTTCTCAGGAACCTCGTCGTGTGTCCGCGCAGCGCAGCGATAGCAACGGGAGCGAGGCTCTGACACACATGATTAGCGGGCTGTCTTTGAATGAAAGTCACAACAACTCACAGGCCGTCTTGTCCCCGCCAGAGGGCGGCGAAACGGAAGCCGCTGGCTCACCCGACCTCGTTGCGTTGTCCCAACCATCTACTCACAACAGCGTGGAATATAGCAAAGAAACCTCCGCGCAGTCTTCCATGCCCCCACCGAATTGGGCATTGTTTGACCCTGAGGACACCAACCGCCGGTTTGTGGGCACGCCGGATTACCTGGCCCCTGAGACCATCAAGGGTGAACCCCAGGATGAGACCAGTGACTGGTGGTCTGTTGGGTGCATCATGTACGAATTTCTCTACGGCATCCCTCCTTTCCATGCGAGCACTCCGGATGAGGTTTTCGAAAATATCCTGGCTCGTAGGCTTCACTGGCCTCCTGAGGACGAGGATGAAGTCTCTCCTGAGGCCAAGGATCTCATCAATAAGCTTCTATGCATGGATCCTCAGCAGCGACTAGGAGCAAATCGTGATGAGAAGTTCAAGTCTGGTGGCGAAGAAATTCGCAGCCACCCCTGGTTCAAGGATATCAACTGGGACACCCTCCTTCAGGACGAAGCGCAGTTTGTTCCGAATGTTGAGAATCCCGAGGACACCGAGTACTTCGACTCCCGGGGTGCAACGCTGCAAAACTTCGCAGATGAGATTGAAGACCAATCTTCCACAGCGACACCCCCTGTCGCCGACTACATTGATCGTCCCCATGATGCTCTCTCACGTGCCAGGGCACCCATTGGAACGCCAAAACGCTCGATGCCATTGCACATTCCCCCGCATGTGCGGGACTTGAAGAGCAGACGTCTGAGCGAGCCTGTTGCTGCCGATGATTTTGGCAACTTCTCTTTCAAGAACCTGCCAGTGCTCGAGAAGGCCAACAAAGAGGTAATCCAGAAACTCCGGACCGAAGCTCTGGCCGCACAGAATAAGCCCATCACCCCTGGAGGACTAGGAAGCCTCACGTCTCCTGGACCAGGTACCCTCGAAGGAAGCCCGGTTATTAGTAATCCGGTTCAGCGAACGTTATCGAATGCAAAGGCTTCTCAACGACCGCAATCTCCTGGCAGTGTCAGCCACGCCAACTCCTCCCCTAGCAGAGTTTCGCAGCCTTCATCCCCGCTTCTTGTCTCGTTCCATGCCCCAACGACGATAGAGAATAGACGTAAAACAGCAAGCAATGACGCCAACACTGCCCTGCCGTCTGGGAACTCGCTGCAGCCGGGCACCTTTATCGAGGTTGCTCGCGTCCCTCCCAGTCTTCAGAAGGCCGCCACTACCATTGCTGCAGCTTCTCCTGCCAGAGGCCGTGGCCAGGCTCCCCAGCTGCCATCATCTCCTCAAAGGACTGTTCCGTCCCAGCTAATTACTACTCCCCGTCATGGGGGTGGCCCTGCTGGTGGCCGATCTCGCTCCTTGACTGTTGGTTCCCAGGAAGGTAGTCCTATTGCTGCAGATAGCCTGATGGCCCATCACCGACACCGTCGCAGCCAGCTCTTTGACATGTCGCCGTCTTCCTCGGACAATGAAGGAGACAAGGCTGCCTTGCTAAGGGTGCAACGACGCCGTCAGAGCTCCAGGAGAATGTCGACTATCTCGACGGCAGATGCCTCTGCTTTCCGTGAAGGCCCCACCTTCCGACCATTGGATGTCCTCATTTGTGATGACCATCCGGTCTCCCGGATGGTCATGGAGAAGCTGCTTGAAAAGTTGCGGTGCCGCACAATCTCAGCTGCCACGGGCAGTGAGGCTCTCCGTTATGCCATGAGCGACATCAAGTTTGATATCATCTTCCTTGAATACAAACTCCCTCAGCTCACTGGCTCTGATGTTGCCCGCATGATACGAGATACTAAGAACACCAATACTCATACCCCTGTGGTCGCTATCACATCTTATTTGAAGGAACTGCCTGCACCTCAGTACTTCGATTCTCTGGTGGAGAAACCCATTAGCTCATCCAAGCTGACAGAGGTGCTGAGCACACTCTGCCACTGGAAGCCTGCTCCCTCTGCCCAGACCACTACCAGCTCGTCAACCTTGGCGATGCCGCATCCTGCCACAGCTACCCTACGCCAAGCAAGCCTGCGTGCCGAGTACAGTCCAAGTACAGCTTCGGCCTCATCCGGATACGCGTTGCAGTCCAACAGCAGCTTCCGGGAGGATTCAGTCACTTCTAGTGTCTATGGCGATTCGGAATCGGTCGCAACGGATGATATCCCAGTGCTCATCAGCCGAAAGGCTACAAGCGACTGGGATGAGAACGGACTAGGCATTACAGGCCCCGATGATCAGTCTATCCAGTCTTCCAATAACAATACAGTGTCGCTCCCGTCACATCCTCGCCTCTACGCACAACAGTCTGCTCCGGCTCAGATGGAGCATCCTGTTCCCCTGCGAAGCAACAAGATCTCTAGCCCACATCATCCGTCCTTAGATAAATTCCGCTCTAAGCGTGATTCCATAGAGAGACGTCCGGGTGAGGGAAGCGTCGACTCGGCAGACGACGAAGATGAAGAGTTTGGCGGCACAACCAGTGGCTTGGGTGTGCTGGTATCAAGTGGCCATCCGAGCAACAGCAGCGGTAGCTGCAGCACTCCCGGATCTCCACTGAGCATCGCTAGCACGGCGCAGGCACAGTATCGCAGCAAGACGGTGTTACCGTCGTCGAAGCTGGCCATTGAGATGATGAGGGCTAACAGCCATGACAGTGTCCCCACTCCAGCTGGCGATAAAGCTGAGATTGGGGCTTTTCGTGATGAAGCGATCTATGCTAGCCCGAAGGGTTCGCCTGACAGCACTGATAGCACGGTAGGGCCCGCCACGGCGATTGAGGTAGCTACAGTTGCGGCACGGGATGTGACCGAGAAAACTCTGGATCAGCAGACGGCGTGGCCTAAAGAGGCACAACAGCAACAGCAGCAGGAACAGGAGCGAGAACCGGTGAAGGTTCCTACGCTTCTAGAGCGAAGCCCAGCTACTGCGGCTTTGACCACGCCATCTCTTACTGCGATGACTGTAGAAGATGATCGGAGCCAGAATGTCGTGGCAGCTACCATCATCCTCAGCCCTCCGTTACCTGCGCCTGCAGCTGAAGCATCAACCCCAGTCCTCCACAGCAAGGCAGAACAGATTGTGTCTGCCGAAGAAGAAGTGACTCCCCGTCCGCCAGCTGTGACAACATTAGTCCAGGGAGATTTTGTCGATGACGATCCCACACCGAGACGGCCGCCTGTTCGGACAGTGGACCGGGATAATGATATGTCGCCTTTCCCTGGGGCGATTTGACAGCACGTCTTTTTGCAGTGAACGTTATGACTCCGTTGGTTTTGATGCGGCCCTTTATCTCTGACATTGAGTCAACGACCTTGAGTTTCCCCCTTCTATGCTAGCTAGTTAGGTACTAGTATGAATGATGAATGAATGGCGAAATGAGCGAGGCGTTAGTGGGACATGGACATTAACATAACTCGGTTTTGGCGATGGTTGTGCTTTTGCACGTCTGCTCAAAGATACTACCATGTGATGTTGCCTAGATGGCTTTCGTCGTTTCTTTTTACGACTGATCGAGGCTGTTTGGTCTTCCCACTCCCGTTGGACTGCAGATAACAAGAGCATGATAAGGATAGGTAGCTAGGATGAAGGCTGAATCTGGATGGAAGCATGGGTTTTTAAGGGTTTATTTTGATGTGGAGCAAAAGGTCAGGTCTAGAAAACATTGAAGGAATGGAAAACATAGTGTGTCCACGGCTGGATGATGAAAACTCAATTTCGATCTAAAGATGTGATTAGGGTTGGTTGGTCTTCGGCTCCCGTCTTTCCAAAACAGGATGAGACGTCACATATGTCTGGGTTTTGAGGCCACCTTATGTTGAGGAAAGTCTGAACCTACTCAATGAAATTGAAAGTATTCCCTGAAACTTGGCTCATAAAGTTGTTATGCTCGTTAAGGAGACAAACCTGCCACTGAACTTTGCCAGCCCCTGGCCATGTGATAAGCCTGGTCGGTTATGGATCTGGGCTTTGAGACCGTGGCCTGAGTTCGATCAACTTCTGCTGTATATAACTTGGACAATATTTCCTTCTCGCTTTAAAAAGTACTTGTCCCTTCTTCAATAATTTGTCGCCGATGACGGGCCTGTCTGAATCATTGAGTATACTTGAGAATTCGAAATTTCACCGAGCCGACACCATGCTTACCAACATATCAACACTCGGAGAAAGCTACACAGAACGCAAATCTTTTCTCATTGATCAGGCTCCTACCTATTTCTTGATGAAGCAGGTCATGATTTGCTTGCCCCCCAACCACCTCGTTCATTAATGGCAAGCTTTGGCGAATGCTATCGTTAATAATCAGCAAATCTCCGATTGTGGCCGAGTGTAACCACTGCTGATATTCGGTTGCTGCATGCAACGCCAAGCTGTTTGTTGAGATTGTCCCTCTGGACTCGTTCCCACATCCTCTGAGCTGTTTGCATGCGGCAAAGCCTATGTGTGGGCAGTTCGGATTTGTTTACGACGGGAAGATGGAGTTGAGGGAAGCGGCGGTCATGGAAATATTCCACAGATTTTGGTTTGCATGTTCTAGGTGCTTCATTGCCGCCTAAGGAAACAGGGTAACACAACATAGTTCTCACAGATTGCGCCTCTACAATGTGATCCGGTTGCCGATTTGGCCAGACGGTATCGGACGTCCCTGGCTCAGGGCAGGAGAGCACGAGACCTCCAACTGGAACTGATGGGGGTTCCTGTGGAAATTTCGGCAGTTGATTTAAGTTGACCAATAGAAATGCGCGAATCGAGCCCCTGGCTGTTTCTTGGTTTGTGGAACCAGGCCTTTGGTTGCGGCACAAACCTTTTGAAGACACGAACTGTCTTGGTCGGGTCCAATCAACTTTGACCTCTTGATTTCTTTGCCGAAGAAATGATTTGGCTGGATCCGGTCAGCAGGGTAACTCTCGATTTGTTTTACTTTTTGGTCCCCGCCCTTCCCGCCTTCCCTTTTTTTTTTTCGCTGCGGTCGCTCTTTGAGCTCGTGCCAAGCGAAGAGGTTCAAAGCCATGGAACGCTAAGGTTGGCCCTCTCGATGCGGCTCGTCCAGCTGGAAACCTATCAACTCACCACGTGCGTGGGGCTCTCACTCTGGTTGGCTGGTTTCGCCGTCGGGTCTGGAAGAGAGCTGGGGCCAAGGGAGCGGCTCTTCGAGGACTGAAGATGCGGTTGCAGATTGTGGGGTGCCAAGAGAGCCAAGAACAGGGCCCCAACCGCTGCCGCTGTCGTGAGGTGCCACCAACCGCCACGTTTGCGCCGAGGTTGCTTCTTGGCCACCGCCACAGAAATCTCGGGCTCGATGACAGCCTAGTCGTCCGTCGCTGTGTTTTGGGGCTATGTGGCCAAGAAAGCTTGGTATTCTTGACTCTTACAGCCAAGAGGACCAAGAGATGCTCCCGCTATGCGATCAGTAGGAAATTGACTCGGCAGCAGCATGTGCATCATAGATAATCAAACCAAGATCTCGGTGCGACCTGTCTGCGTTGGGAACTGGAGTTAAGTAGTTGCAGTGCGCTACTGCACACTAGTCGGCAAGAGAGGCGGGATGCCAGTGCGGAGGACCCGGGATGGACCCATAGCAACGACACCATCTGAGACGCAGCGTGCGTTGTGTTGAGGGGCCGACAGGCAGAGAGGCTTGAACAGGCGGGGTTCGAGACGCCAGCGACCGTCGAGGACCCTCGAAGCGATGAACAAGAGGTTGCCAACGAAGAAGGGGACATCGGGGTCACGACAGATGGCAAGGTTCTCAGCATATTCTCGGCATCTGGCACTTCTAATGGGATCTGGCTCGTCACACACAAAAACAACGGCAGTCAGCGGTTGGTGCAACTCTAGACTCGATTTCGATACTTGGTGCTGCTCTTGATATGCCGGGCACAGAACGTACATACCTACATACTTACAGAACGGCGAGGATCCAGTGAGCGCACATGCAGAGGTTCACTGTCGCACAGCACGCTACGCGAATGCAGGGCCCTCTTGTCCAGCAGAAAAGCGTCAATAAATGCGAATGCCGTTATGTGGCAGCGGCCCATCCATGAATCCTTGTGGTCGCGTGAGGGAAGAGCATCCCGGCATGCTGGGTTTGCCTGAAGAGGCAAGCTGGTGGGGTTGGTTAAACTTTTGTCTCCAACGCTCCCCCACGGTCTTTTTAGTTTCGAATGGTCAGCGCCGGGGATTTGTCGTCACACAGTCTCCCCCGTTTCCGGATCACCGGCGTCTGATGAGTCGCTTGCTCAGCCAGCTCTGCATATTTCTCTCGCGCTCCGTCCTCTCCTGTAGCCTCGAGCTTTCTTCTCCAGCGGGCACTTCCTCCTCGACCATCCAACCTGTTCTATCCCACACAAACCGGGGACAGTCAGCCTTGCCGGTCTGTTGGAGGCTTCAGCCAACAACATCCCTTTTGCTGAGCATATCTGAAGTTTATTGTGGCTCAACCGCAAATTTTGTCCTATTCCTTTTCCATACTTGCGTCCACGTCCTCTGGATCTCCCTTGATCCAGCTCTTTCGCGCGCGAGCCGCTCGCCGCAACCGTCGCAATGGTGAACTCCATCCGGCACCACAGCCATCACAATCCTCCAATTGGGCAGATTCCTGTTCCTCACGGCCCTGACACCGGCAATGAGCACGACCACTATCCTCCTGGCAACCCGCCGACCGACCCCGAGGATCAGCGTGCCATCTTCGGCTACCTGACTCATCCAGACGATTGCTACACCGACGACGGCGTTTACTGGGCAGATCTGCCTCTCAAGAAGCGCCTGGCATTCGTCAACAAGGTCCACAATGAAGAAGCAAAGAAGGAGCTCCGCCAAATTGGCAAGATGATGAAGGCTGATCCCCTCAGCCCGATCTCTTGGTACATTCACAATGCCGTCCTCCCCGGCGCTGGTCTCGGCCTCGAGGGTTATGTCCTGTTCAGCATTGGTAACCTCGAGCCCCTCTTCCGCAGCACCTGGCCGCAGTGCTGGGGTAAGGATGCCACTGTGTGCAGTCAAGACTGGATTGCTTCGGTCACATATCTCGAAGTCATTGGTATTATGGTTGGCCAGGTGGCCGTCGGTGTTATTGGCGATTGGATTGGTCGTCGTTGGGGTCTGATCCAGGATGCTGCCATCATGTTCGTTGGCTTGCTCATGATCACTGCCAGCTGGGGCTTGACCCTGGAAGGCTGGGTTATCTGCTACGCTTGGTCTCTGTTTTTCTATGGTACGTCTTGGATTATCTCGTTTTTGATTTTTTTTTGTTCGTGTTTGCTAACCTGCTCTCTACCATCCAGGTTTCGGTGTCGGTGGCGAGTATCCCATTACTGCCACATCGTCAATGGAGAACGCAGTTTCGGCTGGAAAACTGTCGACCCGCGAAGATCGCATGCACCGTGGACGTAAGGTCACCTTGGCCTTCCTCATGCAGGGTTGGGGTCAGCTTGTCAACCAGGCTTTCCTCATCCTCTTGCTTCTGGTCCTGCACCACGGTGACGGCGACCCACCGTATGGCACTACGACCACCCAGTGGATCTGGCGTGTTTCGTTTGCTGTGCCTGCTGTCGGCACCCTTTGGCTCGTGTACTATCGCGCCTACAAGATGCCCCATGCCGGTCGCCAACTCGCCGCTGCGAAGAGGAAGAGCAATGTCACAGGCTACGATATCGAGTCGCTCAGGTTGACCTGCACCTTCTTCGGTGGTCGGTTGCTCGCCACGGCTGGAACATGGTTTTGCAACGACGTATTCTTCTACGGCAACAAGCTCTTCCAGGCCCAGTTCATCGCTGTCATCAGCAGCAACCCGTCCTCGGTTCTGACGGGCTGGATATGGAACTTGTACAATGTCATCATCTCGCTGGCTGGCTACCATCTCGCTTCTCTCCTCATCGACCACAAGCTCTACGGCCGTAAGATGATGCAACAGGTCGGTTTCCTGATGTGTTTTATCATGTTCATTGTCCCCGCATTCAACTACGAGTATTACACCTCGCCAAAGGGTATCAAGGCTTTCCAGGCCATGTACTTCCTTTCCTCCTTCTTCAACCAGTTCGGCCCCAACAGCGTCACCTTCCTCGTTGCCGGCGAAGTATTCCCCACTCCCATTCGCGCTTCGGCACACGGCTTCTCTGCCTGCATCGGCAAGTCAGGCGCTCTGTTGGCTTCTGTTCTGTACAACTACATCGACACCCAGACCAAGTTCCACGTTGTTCCATGGTTTGGTCTCGCTGGCATGATTCTCACCTGGCTGTTCCTTCCTGACACCACTGGTCTGGATCTGAAGGAGCAGGAGCGTCGCTGGCACTACATCCGCACTGGCCGCGGTCACGAGTACCATGGCATTGCCATCCATCCTAAGCATCTCTCCTTGTGGGAGCGTCTCATGGGCGTTGGCAAGAACTACGACCCCGAGAAGGACCTCAAGCAGAAGATTGAGGATATGCGCGAGGAGTGGACCAGCAAGGAGCGGCTGCGCCGCGAGAAGGAGGTTGGCGGCCAGGCTGCGGGCGACCTGGAGTGTCTGGACGATGATGAGTTCAACGATAATGTGCACCGCTACTTTAGGGAGACTACGTCGGAGCACCTGTACGTATCGGGCGCGAACCCGGCAGTTAATAACAGCGATGAGTCGGAGAAGGATCCGGAGAAGGTCAAGAGGGTCAGCAGTAGTGATGAGATCGCTCCGGTTCCTGCTACGCCTGGCGCGCAGCAGTCTGGGAAGAAGGAATCGGCGGCGGGTCTGTCGGAGAAGTCATCGAGCTGAGGTTAGAGTCCTTAGGCTTGGTTGATATGGTAGAAATGTTGGGTTTCCATAATGAGGGAAGGTTAAGGGGCTGGGAAAGCAGGCTTCGCCCCAATGAGTCGTTTTGCAAGGCCTCATAAAGCATGGGAGTTAGGGTTCATGTCGTTTTGACGACCGTACATATAAAAGTATTGCTGTGATACAAGCATAATACCATAGAATTTGTGCCCTGAGATCTATGTCCCATTTGCAATTTGCTGTGGCAGTGGACTGATATGCATTAACTCGGAGCAGATGTCCCAGATGCTTTTCCTTCTCCTCCAATGCCATCAATCGTTCTTGACAAAGGCACCTTCTTCTTGTCATCATCATGCCTGATCAACAGGGGGCAAACTATGCATCACAGGAGCACTCATGAACGAAGTGGCGACTGATCCGGGAAGTAACCTCTGTTTCATACATTTTTATCGGGGAGGAGCCGGTATCACGGGCTTTCTGACCTGGGGTTATGTCTCTTTGAATATAAAGCCTTGCTAGATTGTTGTTCCTTTCACTCATAGCTTGAGTCTCCTAGAGTGCTCAACAATCCGTAGATCACATTGTGTGTAATTGCCATGCATGAGTCACTGGTACCCCAATCTGGTGTTCTTATTCTCCAAGCCTGAGTGAGATAGAGGAATGCTTCGATCCGCATCAACTCACAGGTTAAGCAGGATGAAAAGAATGAAGAACCAGATGTTGTCGTTATTGCATTGGTTGATAGTCACAAACATAATCAGGTACACCCATCTTCCGCGTGAGAACGCCATCTAAGCCGGGGTTGACCCTTGCCCAATGCTGTCATGTAAGAAACCAAAGCCATCACCCTTCCCCACGCCACACGGGCTTTGCATAGTAGTTCCAGATCAGATACAACAGTTTTCTGTGTTTCAGCACAGAGCCGATCTAGGCTAGATCCACTTCTTGGGCAGCTGACCACTTCCGTTGCAGACTCGATGCCACGGTGTCGTGCTGCTTGCTGACTCGGCGACCAAGAAGCGTAATCCCGATGCTGTCCTTGTCTAATTGGAGTTGATTGGAGACGAAGTATGAGACGGGCTCTTTGTTGGCTAAGGATTTGCACTAGGACAGAGGAGTGCCAGTATACTGTTAGGTTTCAACTGCGCCCCTTCCGATAGGGAACAGGTCAAGGTATGGATGATGATATTGAAAATCTCAAGGTACTGAAGATTAAGTGTTGCGGCAGTTAATTAGAGGCATTGGTGATAGTCGTATGTAATTAGATAACCTAGATCCAACTCAACGGGTACGGTCTTACATACCGCCGTAGAAACTCCCGGTTGATACAACATGCTTTTGTCCTTATCAATGAGGTAGTCCAGTTAGCTTAGTGTAAGAGTTATACAATGGTTTGTATATTTTTAATGGCTTACAGCATGCAACGTTCTTTTGTAAAATTTGAATGAAGTGAAGTGATCAATTGCCAATTTTCACGCTAACACTTACCCTGGGTATCTGAGTGGTGAATCTAAGTCTAGGTATGAACTTACTTTCGTTCTTTGCATCCCAACACCATTTTACGTAAGAAAAACTCAAGTATTCAAGTACGATACCAGATTGAAATTACAGACACTTCATACGAACAATGGAGACTAGAGGTTAAAACATCATGTTCAAAGTCAGGTGCACTCAGATCCAGGATCCTTTGTACAAACACACATCCTTCAGTTAACTCTAAAATATCTGCATTAAACCATACCCAGATTCTCTTTGAAGTATACTTATTTTGCATTGAAGAATTTGAGGTTGTCGCTATTTTTAAGGCTCGAGTTGCCTTCAAAACTCAACGGAGATCGACACGACTTACAAGAACCCACAAGTCATACATATTTGAGTCTAAAGTTGGACCATTCCGGCTATTGATAAATTCTGGTTCTTTGGTCGACAACGAGACACAGCTAAGTTGTTTTGGAGCAATATCGCCTTTTACCTTGGATAAAGATCCCCCCCCTTTCTCATCTTCAACTCTCCAGGTGGGCGCCGTGAATCCACATTTGGCATGATGGCATTATCCTCCACATGCCATTAGTTTCGAGAATGGCATGATTCGCGACCTAGTACTGGACGGATATTCGTTATTAGTGTCGGCATGCAGGTAACATCGTGCTATGGCAACGTATTCACTTTGCTCCGCCAATTCTTGCTAATTGGAGTGGGCATGACGGCCATTGTTGCAATAGGAAAGCTCGCCGTTTTCGCCTTTGAGGTGCCCGAGTCTTGGCACGATCGAAAGCCGTTTTGCTTCCACGGCGCAGGTCGAGCAGGGGTCCGCTGCCGAAGTCGCCGAGGTCGCCGAAACGCGCTCGAAAAGTGCCTCAGAGCAAACGTGTATGCGCGTACCTCCTCCAAACATGGCAATTACGACCTCCGTCACGCTCCACGCTCTCATCCCCGGCCGGGGGGAGCAACAAGTCTGGTAACGCCCCGGAGGGAACGGACGGCCATACCCTTACTAGGTTGGCTTTGTAATGGCTTTGATCATGAAACCACCACATTCAGTTCGACTTGTTTCTGCCCTTGTCAGACCTGATCACTGTGCTTGTGGTGGATGAACCGCAATACAGCATAGGGCGTGCAGCTATCTCGGCCGATGCCGCATCTCTTAGGCTCTGATGTGCCTGAAATGTGTAGGTAGTCACAAGAGCCAACGGTCGACGAAATTTAATTAGTCTTACGGGAGTACCAATAATGTAGGTAACATCGCTATCATTGGGCGATCGGCAGTTTCGCGCTAAGCAGCACGTGGTAAATGCAGAGATGGACACTCGCACAAGAATGGATCCTTGAAATCCTGAGTTCATAACGAGGACTCAGCCCTTGTCTCAAGCCGCTCGCATACCCTGTTGGTAACCAACAACGAGCCCGAAAGCAACATCGGTTGGAGTTGGAGAGGAGCTTCTACAGATGGTAGGTTGTTGAAACAAGGTTCAGAGATCAAATTGCTAGCAAACTCAAGCTCCAGACTGCAGTTTGACAACCACGGAGCATGTTTCAACCCACTTCTGCAGAAATATTGTGATGAGTATTGAAAGATCAACTGTGTTGGCTATCAAGATTCGACAGCTCGTTGCGAGAGCAAGGAATAAATGCAGAGGTAGTTTGGAATAAGCGTAACGGCTTTCTCTCCTTTGCTTTGCACTGCAAACGACAACAAAAAGGTGGGATATGGTTAGTTAAAGAAGGCAGTCAAAGCTGCTAGAACCAGCAGGAGCCTTAGTCGCAAGGTCTGCCATCAGGGGTTAGTTTGCCCGTTGTGGAACTGACCCGCCTGCCGGGTTAGCCAGATGGAACTCCTGACATTAGAGCAATGTGAGGCATCTAGGTATACGCAAGCTGTGTGTTAGAATTCCGTCCCGCATTTTCACCCTATGATCATAGGATCCTAGATATTCTGCGAGATAAAACGTATTATAAAACAAGTATGCAGTCTTTGTCTTGTCAGCCCTGAAGATTGTTCTGTGTAATAAGTGTCTCAGCTGAGTGACATCACAACCGGTTACTTTAGAAATAACTAAGAACACCAAATGACGCTTCAAAAGGGCAGTAAACTATTTTCTGAGATTTTGTTTCTATATATTTCTATCTAGAGATACAAGGCTAGTAGAGGTATGCAATGTTGGCACATAAAGATATAGAGGGTGAAGGTTGGAAGGTTGTACAACATTGGGCCAGGTCACGTCTTGGCGTCGAGATCGTCACGGATTGCGTTCCGGTGCGGCATCGACAAGGGCTGCTGTGGATCTTGATGGCTGCCTTTTGTGAAACGTGAAACTGTAATCGTGGATTATCTGCATACACCCCGTACACCTTGGCTTCTTGACGTTGAATTACAGGATTATGACTCCGTCCAGAGAAGTGTTTTGGAAGATCGAGCTCAAATTTTGATTCTCCCGTCTGTCCGACGAGTCGAGGCAAAAAAATACCGCCAAAAGTATCTCAGTAGCTTCTAGTGTCGGCAACTGTTGCAAACTACGGCCTGGTGCAAGGTTCTGCTGACGACACACTAGAATACCTAGGCATCAGTCACGCTGTGGGGTTGTGGCGCACCGCGCCGGCCAAAGAGACCTCTCCTTCATAGCTTGAGCGTTAGTAAGGTTTTCGTATTTACGTGTTGCTGTACATTTCACCCTAAAAGTGCAACGAAGACAACAGATCCGTGGATCGTGTTTAGATCAGCATCACGATGCAGCTTTCTCTTATGGCTTGACGCACCACAATCCTGCCAGTCTTGCATCTACGTAATGTTAGGCTTTACGACCTCAGGCAGGTAGGTACTTACATGACACATTATAGGAAAGCCGAAACAGTTTATAAGAAGGCCGGCTGCGAATGACAATTGTTGTGAGCCTTTTGCTGCCCGAAGGCCTCGTTCTTAGATGCTTGCAGTGACAAATGACAAAGAATAGACCAGGCCAATCTGAAATCAGTGTATTGAAATTGCTCCAAAGCTCACAAAAGAGCCGCCCTACTATCTCGGACGGCCGGGCTTGCGACATCGTCTCATCGACCACACCACTGACGAGAGATGACATGAGGACCAGGGTCCCCCAGCAGCCGATGCCAGTCTAAAACGCCTTTCCGATCCTCGTTGTATCGTAAGTTGTTGCAGCTAGGCCGGCCTAATCCTCGGCAACGTCTAAACTGCTTCTCGAGGTCTGGTCTCATCGCCGCCGTTATGCCTGATGAATTTAGAACCTGCTCATAATTGAACCTGTCTTTCTCCGAGGTGGTAATGCGGGGACTGGGGCAAGACTACTCTAGCGTCGAGCGGGGGATGTCCTGTGACGGGAGACCAGGCCCCGAGCCCAGCATGACTCTGCCAAGTTATTGATGGGATTGAGGAAGAAACGCTCGACAGGACCAGATTTGTGTACGCTAGAATTTCATCTCTCTCAACAATGGGCAGACAAACTGAAATGGTTACATTGCGGTTCCTGATATGGAGAAAACAGAACGAAGAT